TATATATATATATATATATATATATATATATATACGTGTAAAATATATTGTATATATACGTATATGAACTGTGCATATAGTATATATCAAAGTACACCCCTGGCGATATGTAAAATACAATTACCACATAATAAATGTCAAATACCCAAGTATATATAATATATAGAAATAAACAGATACGATATATATATATATATATATATATATATATATATATAAGAAATATTAATGTAATATTCAGTCAGATAAGTAGAATACTATAATGACCAGCGTGTCAGGGGCTGTTCGTCCTGTATGAAGAATTATTTTGATTCTTTTCTTTTTTTCTTTTTTTCTTTTTTCATTTTATTCTTTAACAGAGTGTGTATGAGTATACGATCGTATGAATATGTGATTAATTACTGATTTTTCCTTATTTTTTAACCCTTTGTACTCCATTGGTGTTAATATTGGAGTGATATTTACAATGAGGAGATTAACTCCATTGGATTGTTTTCATTGATGAAGTATGAATAAAGGAAGAAATAATATATTTCTTCTTGAGATTTATGGTTTTATATAGTTACTGAGCATTAGAATATGTTGTATATGAATGTATTAGAAAAGTTTTCGGAGTGCAAAGGGTTAATGCATTGCCGATCACTTGAATTATCGTTCAATTAAAAATATAGTTATCACGGAATGTGATATGTATATGTAAATAAATTTTCAAGTTTAAATATTAGAATCTGCGATATTCATAATAAAAATAAATCTTGTCATTATGAAATTTACAAAATTATTGTTGATATACGATCTAAATGTAAATAAAGTATAGATCTAATTTAACATATTTAATAATAATATATTCAATGGCTAATGTTGGATTGTGAAGAGTGAAAAATGACTAATTTTTTGATAAAGCAATTTTCGTCAAAATTATATTTCATTTTGTGTAATAGAAGTCTTTTCATATCGTTAGAAAATTTTCATGTCAAGAACATTGATTACCCATACTGTTTTATTTAGTAATATATGTTTCTAATAACTAATAGTTACAACACTTCGTAATTAGTGTAGTTTTCTTGCGGCACTATAATTATTTACTTTTGTGTAAATATTTTATTTAAAATAAAACTAAAAAAACAAATTGAAAAATTAATAATCTATCGATCAAGTATAGCAAAGAAGAAGAATTGTCTTGACAAGTTTTACTTTTTTCTTATGAACACTAATTTAAATTACGTAAATTTTATTGTTTAGTTACATCATCAGTAATCAAATAAAATGGAAAGATTTCTTTCTCGATTACTCAATAATATCTGAATTAATTTAAATCGATATCTTGATCTCCCACTTTTGCTCCTCCATCATCGGTCTCATTCGTTCCCCTCGTGTGCATGTGTCTCGTATGTGTGACAATTTGTCTCATGTTTCGAACTATAGTAGCCTGAAAAAAGATTCTAATTCTCCCTCTAACTTTCCCAAATAATATGTTCCATAATACAGCGTAAAGTACTATCGTTCTCGTTCCTAATACAAGG